AATCGTAACGATATAGTTACTACATATTAAGGTATTCAGGTTCTGTATAGATATTTATCTACCATGTGTACCCCCAAGTTCGTTTTAGTACCAGGGTATTCGTATAGAGGGGATGTGCGGTATGAGTAAGTATGAATTGGTTTTATTGACCTGGGTAAAGTACTTGTGTACGATATTATCATACTCCCCTAAAGAGAAGCCGTTAAATCCCTAAGTTTAACAATAGAGCACCGTATTTATCCGCCATATGTACTCCCGTGAGATGTATGCCAGAATTTTCTCTTCTTAACCTAATACTCGTGTCACGTTCTCTAGAACATTCCATCTATCTAAGCCGCATATGTAATATGTAACAATAGAAAATTCCATATTACTGTAGTATCACAAGATTACTACGCCTAATTTAGAGTGTGATCCAATCATTGCGTGCGACAAATCTTTAAATTATGCGGGCCTAGGGATTAAGGTTCTCTTTGACCAAATTTCAAAATCAAGCATACTGTAAGACAAACGTTTATACAGTAGTCCAAAATATAGTCAATGGAACCGTCTTTTACGTATTATAAAAAAAAAATTTCTTTATTGTATAATGTCTTAGAACCCTAACCAAATGGTATGATCTTGTCTCTCATCTGAAGGCACAAAATTTTGGATCACTTGCAGTATGGGTGACACCTATTCTAAATCAATTTAATACATTTTATTAGTGGTGTCATTTATACTACAAGAGATTCAAAATTTTTACTAGAAATATTTTGTATGGTAATTCTACATATGTCAAAAATTACAAGCACGAACGTAGTTGGCATATAATCATTATACCAATGCTATAAAAATTTTGACTAGTATAATCAATACTACTTTAAGACCTGTTGATTTTTGAACGTGCACCAGGTATATGATAGTTTGGTCAGCATTATTCACATGGTCTTATCCGGAATTAGCTAGAATTAGAGCATAATATAGACCGACTCAATGACAATATTAGTATGTGTAACGCCAATTGCCCAATAGAAAATTCCTTAAACACAATATTATTTTTATGGGCGAATCTATTTGTCACTGGCAGTGACATTCACCGGGTTGAACACATCAAGGAATCAGATGTAATGTTGGTGTAACCCGAAAACGAAGAAAACATTGAAAAATTTTCAAAAATTAGTGATAGCTCAAAATTTCACCTATGAAACCACCTTTCGTGTTCTAATTAAAAAATTTTCTTGCAATATTTTACTATATGATATGTCCCATTTCACGATCTGGTTGTCAATTACAATCTGGTGACTGTCACCACCGGCGACAATTATTTCTTCATTTCATATTTTAAAGGTTAACTTACTTATTAAAATCGACGAAGCTATGAGTTTTATAATAATGGATAAGGTGAAAATGATCGCTTCCCATTGAGTTCTCAGTATAATTATATAGATCACATGATCTGGACTTAATCCCGGTTCAGGGACAGTCAAATATTAGATATTTCGATTATTTCGATAAATTTAGATTATTTTGCAAATATTTTGATAAATTACGAAAATTCTTGTGCCTGGATTGAAGTATACCTTTGTGACGTCCCATTTTTATGTAATTTAATAAAAAAAATTGAAACTGATTCCGAAGGGTTATGTTTTTATTTTTATATGTAATAAGTAATAGTTATTTCACGTTTTATCATCGATATCATGAAGCATCACGGGTTTGTCGATGATAAAACGTGAAATAACTATTACTTATTATAGAAAAAAAAGGCATTCACTAAAGAAGCAAAAGATGCCAAGTAACGAGATTTTTTTTTTTGTGAAAATAAGTTTGGTCACATAGTCATAGTGTGATGCATTACTACTATAGATGCTGGTGAAACTGGTGGCTATCTAAAATCTGCTATATTAAATTTCACCGATTTCACAAGAATTTCACCAGTTTCACCAAGAATTTCACTAGGTTCCCAATCAGAATATGAAATAGGGTATAACGTGATATTGTTCTGCATTCTTATTATTCTTATTGGTCAATATTAAAAAATTTCTGACTAGCGCTACAAAATTTCGCTGACCAATCAAATGTCAAGATCAAGAGTAACATGAAAGAAACGTAACTCAAAACTTCACTTATGAAAACTAACACTAAAAAGTTGTACTAACAACACTAACAAGTTTTTTTTTTTTTTTGTGAATTTTTATATTACTATAATTCCAGAACAGTTTGTCAACTCGTGATTCACGAATTAATCCAGTCAAGTTATCGTTATTCGAATTAAATTACTAATTATAAAAACAAACATATTTCATATTCTAATCGACAAAGGCAAATTTAATTAATACATGTAACAATTTATACAATATATTATGACTCGCGAGTTAAAAATTACATGAGCCCAATCACTAAATTTCCCACTTCTTGAGTGAAACTCCGTAATTAATTATTATTGCAGAGTATGATAAGATTATGTATGAAAATTGCAACCTTTACAATAATACTGTATGTATTTTTACACAAATTTCAGTAAATCGAAATTTTTTTAATCTCATTGATCTCAGAAATTACAAATCAATTTCGAACTGGAAATTGGTTTAATTAAATAAAAAATAGTTACACGAATTATTTGTAACATTTGTAACAACTTATAAAATTCGAATATTTTAATATAGATAATTATTAATAACATTCCACACCCCATGTTGTAAATGTATTTTATAAATATACTTATAAATATTTATAACTGTAAATAATATTTACAAATATTCATAATTTTCATGAAGCGAAATTCTATTTTTAACCCGGGTTAAAGTTACCCGAAATATTACCTTTACTGGTACCGTTACTAATACTATTAAATATTAGTTACGTAAAGGACATTATAAGTTTATCGGGTGATCTTAACCCGGGTGAAAATAGAATTTTTATATCATGAATTTTCGTAATTATATTCGAACATTCGAATATATGTAATTAGTTATGACATAATTTCTGCAATTACGGCATAAGCCGTCTACCACATTTTTGGTGGTTGCTTTTTCTTAAAAAAGTGGTTGTATAGTCACTAAACAGACATATTTGATCAAGCGAATAGAATTACTCGGTTTTTTTCAAACCTCCAATTTTCTTTTTATCGTACTATTCAATATCGAACTAAAGATAATCAATTAATTCATTTTACTTATCATTACTAAATGGCTAAGATAATAGATGTACAACAAATACCAAACAATATAATTTTGCAAAAAAAAGTCTATCAACGGACCGGGTTAAAGGACTGCTGTTGTGTACTACTGTTGCGTTTATGCCAAATGTAAAAGTTATGCACTAGATATATCATACTTTAATTCAAGGAAGACTTTCGCATATAATAATGTTGATGCGTAGCTAGCCCACTGCTATTATATATCAGAAATATTGACGAATTCAGATGATGATGACAGGCTTTGTAACCAGCACTGTTCTGAACAAGAAAGATAACATCATTCCAGAGTTTTATCAAAATATATGTGATGGTGAAAGTTATTATTAAATCTGCTGAACGAAAAGACTTATAGTCTTTGAAAATTTTCGACAATTGGATATTCTTGTTATCAGTGCAGAAGAATAATAACAGACTATTATATATTTATGAAATGCATTATTATAATGATATTTATTTGGTGGATAAGATCCAATCGTTTACATTTCCAGACAAATTAAGTGATTTAATAAGTTTTTTTTTGAAAACATTGATTTTAATTTTGAAAATCGTATACTGCCTTGATATAATCTCTAGTCTTGGTGTATACTAGGTAAACGACTTCTTTTAGGACAAATACAATTTAAAAATTATAAAGTACGTTCGAAAGGTCTTACTGTGTTAACCCTTCTAAAATATGATTCTTTTGAGAGATAGTTATCTAGCATTCTTATTAAATTAAAATAATGCAAAGTACTATGAAGCGCATAAAATTAGTTAGATTCTCTTTACTCAAGGTTGGCAATGAAGTCAATGGAGCTCTAAAATGGTCAGTAGCAAATGGACAGTAGTTTATTGAGTTTCATTCAGATCTCCGTTGTCAACCTTGGGTCTGGGCCTTTATTGTATCACGAAATCCACATTGGCTATTTTAAAAATTGATAAAAGAATCGGGACTGGTTTTTACCGTATTATATTACTACCTGAGAACATTGTTTTGATTGGTTCAAGTTAATTTTTTGTTTTTTTTACAAAACCAGCTCATTTAAGGTTCGATAAACTCAAACTTGGTGGTATGACACTTTGGTCATGTTGATTGGTGAAAAATAGGTATGCCAAAAAGGAATAAAATTAAAAATATAGGTTATCTATATTGGGTTAAAGATTCTGCCAAAGTATTTAATTAAGAATTTAACCATTGAAATTGAATCACTAGAGATTGAAATTATAAAATCAAAACTAAAGCCTTCAAATGATAAGACCCGTAGAAATTATCATAGTTGACAGAGAATGTTATTGTTATAGTACCAGATTAGACATTGAAAAAGATCGAATATTAATTATTAAAAAATGGTTTTCACATAACGATAAGGAATCATCTTTTATGCTTCAATAAAACATATTTCTACAGTACATTCTCCTATTAAACCTATACTTGACGATGACCATTAGGAAGTACTGTAAAAAAAAAAATTTTTTTTTATTAATCAGTTACCAACTTTCCAAATGGTAGAATATTTCATTTTAGAGATTATAATATATAATACTCAAGATAAGAAAATGAAGACTCAAGATAAGAAAATGAAGACCGATATCATTTGTTTGAATGTGCATCTTTATTTAGAAGATCAAAGATAAAATAGCAATAGGTTAACTAATATATTATTAATATTAATATCATTATATTTATCATTAATACAATACTCTTTACATAATAGTATATCAAATCATTAAAAACATTGAATTCGTTGAAGAATTCAACAAATTCAAAATTTGAATAACTTTACAAACATAAAATTTATCCAATTTTAAAAGAAAAGTTATTCAATGAATTTAATCTTTATCATGACTTTTTTTCAAAACCACTAATAGTTGGAGCTTTGTTTAACCAAATACCAGTACGCAATTCTCTTAAAATAAAATGAGCGACGCTAGCTCTTGAAATTTTCATCATAGTTAAAGGGTCGTTGATTCTGTAGTTGGTTAACTCACCATCATATAATTTTCCAGGCTTAACTATTGTCCAATCAATAAATTCCGTATCCAGTTTAACAATTAATTCTTGTATTTCTTTGTCAGCCAACATTTTCCCCTTAATAGTAAACCAGCTAAAAAACTTTTGAAATACCGAAACTTTTTGATTTTTAGCACAGCCGACGACAATTAATCTACGAACTTTATTCTCCATCATACTTTGATTAATGATTTTTTGAGATTTAGAACATATCTTAATATCACTAGCCAGCATCATTCGAGATCCAAGACAATTTATTACAGCATCTTGATCCCTAATCGCTCGATTTAAATCGTCGCGAGAGAACACGGAACCGACTAAGATTACTAGGTTTGGATTCCTTAAATGATGTCGTTTAAACTGGAGGTTTTTTTCGTTTTGAACTAGGATAGTCACATAATATGACGCTTCTAGCGCCTGACATACAACTTGAGTTCCTAGATTTCCCGTTGCGCCTAAAACTAATATTAAATTATGAAATTAATGAATGTTTTTTTTTTTAAAAAAAAAATCTAAATATATACATTAAATGATAATAAATGTAAGATTCTTTATTTTAAATTTTTACCTAAAATATGATTAGGTAATGTGTTATTTGTGATTGCGGGTAAGGAAGGTCGAACAACGTCGATAATCGTCGTAACTGATTTTTTTGGGGATTTGTATTTAGCTAGTGGCATTATAACTAAAAAGTTTATTTCTTTGTCCCTGTCTATATAGGCCAAGTTGACGATATGATGACTGAAATATTAGTATGAGATTAGTGATAGTTCCTTTTGGAGAAAATCAGTAAACACATCTACATATTCCAGGTCAGGTCCAACACTTTTAGCTAAACAAATGTGCATTCGTTTTTATATAGATAGATATATATATATATAATAACATAATCTAGTCTTTTTTTATTTGCTTAAAGTTGCAATCCAAACGTTTTGTATGCATGAATGAATGCCATTTTTTTCAACGATTATTTTTATTATTATGGATATATAACTATATAAATAAATATATCTATATATATATATATCAGAGAGTGAAGAAATACGTACCAGCATTGACATTTAATATTTAATGAGTGAATAAGTTAAAACCCATAAAAAATATTCATCCCCGAATATTGGGTTCTCGAGAATTCAATACATTTTTGAAAAATAGTTCTCGAGGTATGAATTGTTCAATGTTGGCTGATTATATAGTATAAACCTATCAATGTTATACGTATAAACCTATTAATGTTATATAAACCTATAGATTTTAGATAAACCTATAGATTTATATAAGCATATTGATTTTATTTATTGATTTTATATAAACCTATTGATTTTATTTATTCATTTTGTGTTATCCTTTAACTGCAATATCTTTATCCGAATCCATTTATTGGTCATAATCGCTTTATTCAGAATGTCACTATTTTGATTTTAGATAGCTTAAGTATTTACCAAATAAATTAGATACGTCCTGTACGCATGTACGCATGTATGCACGTACAATAGCGGATAAAATTTGATGCTTGTTTGTAACCAAATGTCTATTATTTTTAATTCTGATTTGAACTTTCTATTCGTGAAATTCATAAAATTTTATTATGTTTAAATTGCATAAATATGTTCGAGGAATACAAACCTTAAAAAAGCATTAGTTAGTTCAACCCTACGTAAAAATTTCCCATGCACGTATTTATGTACCTATAATTCCATTTACTCAAAACTTTAAATTTTTAAAATGTACTCTTTAAGTAATTTATGCCAATTATACTAAAACATGCACAATAATTACATGTCAACGTGATCGTTATGATTACGTAAAATATGCTTTGTGATGTAAAGAATAATAAGTTTCCGGTAAGTTTGGTCTGGACCATTTCTCTTAGTGCTGATCTGAATTAATAGTAATCTATATCTACATAGTAATTTATCATTTAGTAACTTATCATGAACTTTTGGTGGTAGCTTGCCATGATAATTTAAGATTGAATAAATGAGTTTCGTGCATCCTTTGGTCTCGACCTTTAGATTTTCGATCATTGATAAAAAATTTTGTCCGAATATTCGAATATACGTGTTTTTAAAATTTCGTGTGATGTTAAATTTATGCTAGGTATAGCTAAATACTATATATATATGGTTTTATAAATTCTTCGAATAAAAGCAATCTATCTAAATAATAGGCATATAGCTTCTAAGTATCGAGGCAGCTTTTGCATCGATTCATTTGTCACCGATCGAACATGTGATAGTCCTGGTTACGGTCACATGTTCGATCGATCGATCAAAAAAAATAAAAATAAAATAAAATAAATAAAAATCTGATTATTTCTAACACTGGTCAAAAAATAAAGTAGTTCAGAAATATCCGTTATTGCTCACTTTTCCGAAATGTATTTCTCCGATTCCATAATTCCGATATCTCTTTTTCCCGACAAGACCATTTCATTTCACCGACAATTAATTCTCCGATAGTTTATTTCTCCGGCAGTCATTTCACAGCAAATCCAGCGTTACCAACAATCTGGGACGGTGAATACTTCCATTCCATTTTATTCCGATATAAATTGACCAATCAGGACTTGCATCTAGCGCTAGA